TTGAAAGTAAAATAAATATTCAGGAATGATACTTTTACAATTTTTGTAAAATTGTATGTTGCGTTATATAAACTTATTAACATCGACTGCAGCATATGGTTAAATACCGGTCCGCCAAAACACAAACACGGGCCTGAATGTTGCTGTGCAATTACTAGCAATTTATCCGAGTGAGCGAGTAACGCAAAAACGGGGAGAGAGCGAACCTGACATTTGAAAGTTTCATGGAGGACGTGCTTGCACACAAAATTATGATTATTAAGCCTAATTGTTTTGGTGCCGTCTTCTCAATAATTAAAACAAAGAAAGTTCAGACCAGAAGCAACATCAGAGTGTCATGTTCAGTGGGAGAGATAAGACTACCCTGTGTTTGTGTTTGCGTATTTATTTTACGTTTTACACAAAACACAGTCATCAAAGCTCTGCCTTAATACCATGCTCTTAAAGTGTCGTGTAAATGAAAGGATAAAACGGGCACGGTTGTCTGTTTTCCCCCAAAATAATCAGACGAAACAAACACAACAACTTTAAGCCAGATGATTGCAGATATAATGTTTGCCTTGAGTTTGAGAAATAGCTTTTCGAATAAGTGCTCACACCTTGGCATTTGAAGGCTTTATAGATGGTATTTTACCGTGTGGGTACTTAACATGGATGTGTGGGCCTTTATCAGTGGAAATCAACACCCATACTGCTTTGAGGAGTCATGATTGACAGTATGGATACATGCAAACCATCACTTCATGAAAATGTCAGGTTTCCCGGTGTGATTGCTTAGTGTTTCTTTTTTTTTTTTTTTTTTTAATGTGGTCAACCAAAGCGCCGACCTGACTTGCGTTTCACTTGTTTAAATGTGACAGGTCTCACATGCTCTTTACCACTTCACCTGTTAAAATGCGAAACATTTCAGATTGGGAATCCACAGTGAAAGCAAAGTGTATGAATAAAGGGCCCCCTTTCAATTTTTTAAGAAGAGAAGGGAATATAAATGCATGAGCAACTATTTCTGCTCGGCATGTGGCAGATGATTTGAGGTTTCCAAAAAGCTCGCCTTTCTGACTGGAGCGCCGGCAAGTGTTAAAGGATCACTCTGCACTCGCTGTCACCATGACAACACCAGTTCCATGTCCGAGTGGGTGTCCACACTTCATTTAGTAATCCTCATTGAATAACATTCAAACCGCTGTCTACATGCCAAGAGGGTCTAGGCTAGTAATCACGCCAAAGTGCAGCATGAAGCCTCACTCCTAGAAATGTGGTTCTTTTTTTTTTTTTTTTTGGTGTGTTTTGTAGAGCTGCAAGTCAAGTGGCAGTTTTTTGTAGTCACTCTGTAAAGTTTATACGAGGAAATTATACCTCAAGTATTGTTTTCTCTCTCAGAGAACAATATTTGCACAGCAGGCTTCACAACCATTTCACACAACATAGGATGACACATTTCTGTCTCATTTTCGAAATCATTATCCCGCTTCAATTCATTTCGCATAGTATAGTTGTCTCTAGTTACAAGTTTATGTCTGGTTAAGTTTTTAGAATACTACACACACACACATTCTGATATTTTACCCACGTGGATGCATTATTAAACAGCTATAGTATCCCTTTCAAAGCTTGTGGACTTTCAGTTAATTTTTCACAGTGCTTATAAATTTACAAGGTCATCAAATTGATGGCATCTGATCTTAGCACATGGGGGGCAGGGAGAGGGCGGAGGGGGAGTCATCACTATCTACACATCAGACGGCATGACTGTTTACCTTGATTACAGCCGTGGGCACTTTGTAAACAAGATAACATTCATCTGTTTGTATGCGCAGGCTTTTTGCAGTCTGACTCGATTTTAGCAAAGCCATCTGAACGTTTAGAAATGCGAAATGTGCTGCATGAGCTTGTGAAGAAATTACAAAATAAAACAGTGTTATCTGTGCATTATGGGTCGTTCAGCAATGGATTTCTTCACCATGTGCCGCAAAGTGATAAAGTACGTATAAAATAACGCTTGTTTTTGTTTCACTTATTTTGCTTGGTTTATGGTTTGGGACAACAACTTGCATCTTCCAGCTCTATAAAGTTTGATAATTTTATGCTGCAGCTTCTTGTTCTGAAAGGAGACATTATGCATTTTCTTCACAGTTTTAAACAGATTAAGGGGCCAGCCATGTTTCTTACAAGTGAGCTATTTCATGCCCCGCCCTATATATCGCCGGACAAATACTGTGCCTAGCTTTTGTTAGTGACTGTGACAAATGTATCTTGTGATTAGAAAGCCCCTGCCTGCTTTCATTCTGTTTTTTTACAACAATAAAAAAAAAAAAAAAAATCTAATTTACTTTCTTTCTTTATGAACTATTTACTGATGCTACAGTTACATACATGCTGCTGACTTTCATGCCGACACTGCAGGTTACATTCCCAGTCACAGCCAATTCCAAACCCGTTAAAAAAAAAAAAGTGGCTTGCATCACACAAGGTGCAGCCGATGTAAAGCTGTGTAAAACAAAACATGCCAGTGACTGTCTGTGGCCACCCCTGTTGGTCTGTGGCCACCCCTGCTGCAACAGCATCTCTGCATAAACTACAAATTATTTATTTCAGTGCAAATGTTTTAATATGGAAAATAAACAGTAAATGTAGGTCAGATTTAAAATATTTAAAAGTTAATGATGATTGAGTGCTCCTTATTGCACCCCAAGAATTGTTGGCAAGAAGGAACGTTCAGGTGTTGTCACACTATAGCACATGTTAAAAAAAAAAAAGTCTTATGGGATTAAGCAACGCAGCAGCCTCAAAGTCATAATAGCCAAGTGAAAATGAAAGATTGATTAGGCCGTGAAGTGCCAATCCTACTCGAAAATAGCTCAGCACTTCTGTTCCAACTGAAGCCTGGATATTTAAAGGATTTTTTTTTTTCTTGCGAAGAAAGTGGTGTCTTTGAAGTGTGCATGTCTCCTCGCTAAGAAGCCGAGGAATATTTTAGTGGGAATGTCTAAGATGATCACACACGGCAGTTTGGTGTGTTTAGGGGTCATTTCATGTCCAATCCATCGCCAACAATCCAAATTTACTAAAGATCGCTCGCCTCTGGGGACATCTCAGCTCGATTCGTTTCTCTTTTTGTGGTTCTGACAGAAACGGGAGGAACAACAGTCATTTGATTTTGTCCCCATTTGGCATCGAAGCATTCAGTGATGGGGAGGGAAAAAATTTCTCATGCTCGGACATTTGACGTTTAATTAAATGTTAGCAGAGCTATACTTGCAAAATATATGATGTATCCAATATTGTTTTCCTCATATCGTCATATTTTGTATTTGACGTGTCTGTATATATTCATCTATGCAAAAAGAAGTGTTACTGAAAAGGTAAAGGTACTCACTTCCTTGTCTCAATACCTGCCTGATGCAATGCAAGAAAAAAAAAATACAGTACCACCGATGGGGGGAAGTTCTGATCGTGGTGAACTTTTTGTATTGATTTCATTTTGTTACATAACCTATAGCCTACCAGGGTAAAAGTGTTTTTAATACATCTGTTTACATTGTCGGAATTGTGTTAGTGACCTCGGAACCTTGGAAGGTCAAATCCTCACAGTAGAACTCCTGTGATACTATTACGAGCTGAAAACATCGCTGGGAATAATCTAGTTAACCGAAGGATCGACAGCGCATCTTCGAGGGTCTGTGTGTATGAAATTGACATTTGATAGAATGATTTTGCTCTGAAGGAAAATGAATGTTGCTTTTTTTTTTCTTTTTTTTAAATGACAAGGTGTGCTCCTACTTTGCAATGATACCGAGAGGGGTTCGTTTTCTTATTGGTATGAAGATCTGAAAGATGAAAGACTAAACTGATAAGAGTTCATTAGTAGTCTCAATGTTTTGTGCATCCGGCAGTTTTGGACAACTTTTTGAAGTGTGAACGTGATACAAAAAAAAATTTCCAGCCTCCTAAAACTGTTTATGTAGCTCTCGGCTTCACAGAGAGAGTGGTGCATACGCTATGTGAGTATCTGCTTCTTAGCAAAGAGGAGGCACTGAAATGGATTGTGGTGTACTCAAATTTTGGATAACAAAACGAACAGAGTACATTGAGGGATCTCTTAGGTGTTTCACAGCATATATTCCTGCATATATTCATTTTTTTTGCCATAATAATGAGCAAAATTCTCATGGATTTAGATAAATACAATTCCCCTTATACAAAAGTAATGCCATCAAGGATTATGCCGTGCCCAAGGGCTGAGAGTTCATTTGTGATTGATTTTTGAGGGCTGTTAAAAAAACTGCCAATGTGTCTTGGAACTCTGGAGAAACAGATGTTTTCATGCCTCGACTTGTTTAGCAAGTGAAATATACCTTTCACCTTCCACACATAGCTTCATAAATATTTATGTAACGCATATATGCTGAGGATACAAGTGGATTCATTGGTAGAGATGAGATAAGGCTCTTTTATAATATATATATAGAAAATATATATATATATATATATATATATATAGTGTTTTTCTGTATCGTTGAAAATTGAGGAGTGTCGTCAAGCAGAATTGAGCAGAGACTGCTCTTGGCCCAAGTTAGAGTTTCAATCCTCTTATACCGCGTGATCTTTTGTAGCATTTGGATAAAGCTGTTGTGTACTTTTGTTCTATCTGGACCATATCCCGAATGAATTTTAGAATGACAGAGTACAAACAATAATATGCAAAGAGTACAGGGTGAGATTTGGCTATACTGAATGGGAGGCATAAAATCACATTTTAATTTCATTAAATTCATTTACGAGAAATAATTGTTTGTTTTTGTGTTTTTACATCCATTATAGATGTCTGTACCAGGTTGCTGTTTCTTGGCATATGCTCGGTGGTTTGGCAGCCCGCTGAGAGATTTTATAGTCACTTAGTAATACTCTGCTTGCTGCTTTAGAACCACTGCCAAGCATGTAACCTTGCTAGAGGTGTCTGGTGTTTAAAATAAGCTTTGTGTGTTGTCCCTTTCCAACAGTTGTGATCCACACCGTGGGTCCGGTGGCCAGAGGTCATGTGGGCCCCACCGAGACCAATGACCTCACTTCCTGCTACCAGAACTCCCTCAGGCTGGTGAAAGAGTATGGCTTGAGCACAGTGGTGAGTGCGGACATATTTTTAATGGAACTCTTGACTTTGACTAAACTGGCCCCTCAACGAATAAGACATATTTATTATTATTATTATTATTATTATTATTATTATTATTATTTCATCAAATTTGAGGTATCCAAACAAAATATTGTTGCGTTACAGCAACTCTTCTAAAAAGGACATTTTTCTAAACAAAAGCAATAGATAATGCAACAAAATGATCTGTAGGCTGCATATTGTTGTGACTAAATGATAGGTAAGTCCCCCCCCCCCCATTCATTATGATGCTCAACAAGGTCACTTTTTCATCTCCCGCTTGGTTTGTCTGTTTTGTCAGCGTTTTAAAGCGGATCGCATGTTTCAAGCATTGTATGGGGGGAAAAAAAAGTTAGCTTGAATGACTAATGTGTATGGGGTGAAATGTATTTTCTCCAAAACGTGTTTTTTTCATTTTTTATCATTCAAGTGTTTGTATTCCCGATTCAAAATGTGTGTTGTTTAAACATGAAGCATGTTCTTCATTTATCATATCCCTCCATGTATGTCCACAAACAGTGGATGGCAAAAAGAGACATTGTAAAGGTATTAAAAAAAATACAGTAGTACTCGTACTTTCTCATTCAAATATTTGAAAGGTTGCTGAAGCATGCCAGCTTTATATGACAGAATGGCAACACACTCCACAGCTAGCTGCGTTTTATTGTTTCGAGACCCGCCCATTTTAATATCTTTTCCCGTGCTCATCGGGGGTAAGCAAATCAGTCTCTTTCTTAAAGTAGCCACAAATCTCATTTTTAGTGTCAGCCTACGGCCCCCACAACCTCATCAGAATCCAATCAATGGAAGTACTTGCCAGCATCGACGGGAGACACTGATTAGTGCCAGTTTCATTAAAGATGATTGTGAAAAAATTCCTGCACTGATGATGAATCATTGTGCCCATGATACTCTCTCCAGGTAGCAATTAAAAGGATGTTGAAAGCTAGAGACAGAGTTAGAAGCACTTTTGATGTTGTATCAATTGCTGATATTTTCAAGTATCCGCACTTTGGCAGAATGGCGCTGCTGCTTGTGCTGTGGCTGATTCCAATATAGTAGTGAGCCAACCCATTGTGCATGTCCATTGACATGTATTTTGGAGTGAAACGTGGCAGATATCACCGTGTCTACGTAGATGTAACACCTTCAACAACCTGCAAGCACACATGGTTGGCCATGTGTCAGAGATGAAATGAAATCACACCAGCAAGTCTCAAATCAGTGTCAAGCAGGTTGTGAGTCTTTTCGTCCCGGGCAAGTCAAGTCCCAGCTCAAATTACTTCATGGATGCAGTCTTATCTGCAGTATCTGGTATTTATAAAGAGAAAAGACCAGTAAAGTTGTATTATTCTATTATTGCTCATTTCACCCAACCTGTACGCCGGTGTGAATGTATAACATGTCAAAATAATGAAAGACTTGTCCTCAAGTGGAGCACGATGTGGCCTCCATGGGTGAAAAGCCTCTGAACTATGTGCTCTCATTGCAATTGGAATATTTTTTTTTTTGTTTTTTGCATTTTTGAAGTGTCTTTCGTGAATCATCATTCATTCATTTGTAATTTTTTTTTCACAAATCTTAGCATGTCAACCTCAATTTTAAAACCTTGTGTATTCTATCTACTGTATTAAACTTATAATTGCTGAATTTTACACCCAGATTTATTCCATGCTCTGTTTTTAATTGAAGTTCACCCCATTTTAAAACCATTGCCGCTTCAACCACTCAATTGTGAATTCACTTTTTCAAATCACATTGACATTCATGATTATGTCACTGGGCAAGGCAAAGCAGCTTGCTGTATATCGCACATTTCATGCACACCGCATGATTGACTGTGTTTAAAAATAGGTATTAGATACTGGGCAGACTGTCTCTTCAAATGGCAAGTAGTTCTCTTTGATGAGCAAATTTAGCGTTACACATGTATTAATTACTCTTGAAACCCCGACTCCATCTTTATATAAGTACGACCAATATTTAAGCATGCCACGTGGAAGCAGAACAGTTCGTTACCATCACTTGTACTACGCAGTGTAAAATCCAGCCTTAGTTTTGGCATTGATGAGAAATAGCCATCTCATGAAATTCAAACATGAACTATACCATGGGATCACATTTTAGTTATCGTTTCCCTTGGAGGGCCGTTATGACTGAAACCATATAATAACGATTTATTCAACTATTGTTTCAGTTTCCCTAATGAGGGGTTTAGTCACAAGAAAATGCTTACAATATGTCTCTAATTTGTTAAATATGAGAAATTTGGCAGAGATTTTAGCAAGCATCATGGAAGTGGACATGTTTGATTTGCTTTCGTGGGCCACATAAAATGATGTGGCGGGCCAGATCTGGCCCCCGGGCCTTGAGTTTGACACAATGATATAAATGGTACAATTTTCAGGTTTGTGGGCCTTAAACACCCATTACACTCCTGTATCAATCCTTGCTTTAATTTCTCAAGTTTGACTTGAGTAGTCGGATTTCTTCATTTATTTTTACAATATGATCTATATTTGTAAGAAGCGGAGGTTCTGTTTTTGCTCAGAGCTGTCTGGATTCTCTTTAATGTCTTTATACAGCTGTTTTGCATTGAGTGAAAACTGTGGTGCTCTGTGATTGACTGGCCTTGCACGATGAGCCTAGTCATTACATTGCCATAGCCACCGTGCTTTCCATCAAGCCGCAAGTGCACTGTTGCACCAGCACTCATTTTGCCACAAAGAAAAGATACTATGCCTCTATTTGTGCTCACGCAAACGTGTAGGTTTTGCTGATTTGGACTGCCTTGATATGCAAGTGGTCCATAAAGAGCATGTCCGGCGATACCCCTTTTATGTGTAACCCAGAACAGAATATTTAATCTCAATATAATTCATTTGAATGAAGGCAAACAGTTTCTGAGGAGGGGTGGGGAGTCATTGCTGTCTTGGTTGTTTCACAAAGTGGAGAATGGATTGGGGGGGATGGCAACGAGGGGATTGGCTACATTTTGGGAACCTCGACGGCCTTGCTGCCTAATGGAGATTCCAGGGCATTACAAAGGAATATGAGTCAAAACAACGCCTAACACAAAATAAACTTCAGCATGAAGGATTAAAACTAGCCGTTAATCCCTTTTTCTTAAAGCCCAAAGCCATCCTTAAGGCCATGAAACGAGTATGGGTGCTGCAGTTGCAATGTCCACAGCCAAATCTTCTCCTGACTGTAGCGTGTCAGGACAGAGAAGTAAATGCCAGTGCATTGCGCAGCTGAAAAAGGATTTCCCTTACCTCGGGGCAGCTCAATGTGTATGACTGAACAATTGCTAGGATCCCTCGAAGACGGAAATTAGTTTGAAGAGTTGTTCCTGTCTCCAAAGTACTGTTGCACTTATAGCACTGCTTGGGAAAAAAACCAGACAACTCTCATAGGTGTCGCTTCTTTAGTTGTGTTCTTACCGGTAGTCCTCGAGTAATGGGTCGTATATCTTTTAACTGCCAATATAGCTAGCTGTGTTGAGGGCGGCACAACAAACTACGGATCCGTTGATTTCTGATCTGAAACTTTCAAAACATTTAACAGCTGCTTGAGGGCAGTTTACAGTTTTTGTATTCCGAATTTCCCCCTGGTGTTTTTGGTTTGATGTCAATGTGACACAGGCCTGATCTTCTGTTTCAAAATGACAACAATCCCAAGACGAAAATAACATTGAACTACAACTATCAATTTAAAGGTGCAGGCTTTAACGCCTTCAATGTGTGTCAATTCTTGGATGAATATCATAGTGGTAGGTAATGTTGGTGGCTGGCTAGCATGTCCCCCAAAGCGTTTGGCTTCAGTGCATGCTGGAAAGCAATCGTGCGTTTTTGGTATTTATGTCCATGTGTACATAAATCCTGTATGGACGAAACTGCTTCGACCTTGAGGCATTGTGTGAGTGTGTGTGCGTCTGTGTGGGTGTTATTGATGCTTATGTGTATTTCTTCTTTGCTTTAAGAGAACTGTTATGCTTCAGTTCAGTGCTTTTCTCCTTTGCTGTGGCTGAAAGAGCATCAGGCAGGCTGTCACAGCTCCCTGGGCTCTGACTGACCACATCCCGCAGCCTGGATGTCAGTGTAGCGGACTTGGCTCGTCAATACTGCATGGTGGAGTTAGGAGGGGGCTGTGGAGAGCCTGTAAGTAAGGTTGGAGTGTGGCATGTTGTCAAACAGCCCCCTCATCTGCTCATTGCTTGTCACTCAACATTGAGCTGAAAAGGAAACTGATGTAACATACAGATCCAGGCATACAGAGTATAGGGTAATAGATTCTAAACTTTTCTAAATTCTTCAGTCTCTGAAGTAAATTGAAGATTGCTGTCGTCGTGGACCAATGAAAATGAGGCTAGGTATATCATTGGGGTCATCCGGTGGGCAGGTGGATTCTTTCCTTCATTGAAGCCCACAATGTCTCTAAATGGCTCAGCGGTATACCCGTAGTCCCTGGTACAGCCCCTGAATGCCATACTGTCCTTGTCCCCCATGGACTTTGCATGACGAGGCTGTCCTTCTCCCTGAGCCAGGTGTGTGCCTGGCCGCATGCCATCTGTCTTGATCCCCGTGCACCGTTGTTGTCATTGCGTCTGATCCAGTCGCAGTTGCTGCTTTTTCGGCAGCACTTTATAGTGTCTTCATGGCCCTTCACCCCTCTTTTCCTCAACAGACTCAGGGTACATGTTGTAACAAATCTCCTGCATCCTACCTCAATCGGGAAGAATCTGGATGCTTCAGCTGTCAAGTGCAAATATTTGGTTGTCTTCCAATCATAAGCCAGTTGAACCCCATCTTCCCATGGAGCTGTCATCTCCACAATGCAAGCCATCTTTGCTTTTGGAGACCACAGGAACAAAACTGCCATTAGTGTTGTAGCCACTATTTCTTGGGGAACAGATTTTTTTTTTTATGATCAAAGTTCTTCCACTCTATTGTCCAATCTCAAGCAGCTTG